TGGGTATGGCCTGGGTCTCTGGACTTTAGCCACAGTGTTCATTCCAGCCCTTCTTCTAACTGTCCCCTCCAGATATTTGGTGTCTAGGTCGCTATAAAGCTCATCATGTATTTCCTGAAGTGCTCCTCAGACCCAATTTTGACCACCTTCTCTTGCTTCCCATCTGTGTCTGTCAAGACTATGCTTGGATGCAGAAACAAAACACAATTAACTATGGCATATGCATGAAGAGGTCTATTTGTCTCACATAATAAGATGTCTGCCCTTGGACAGCAGCTCCCCAGTGTCAGTGATGCTCTTCTGTCTTTATCTTCTGTCATCCTTAATGGATGGATTGTTGCCTCATGGTTGCAAGGTGGCTGCTGCACTTCCAGGCATCACATCTACCTTCTAAGCAGGAACAAGTAGCAAGGCAAACTGGCTAAAAGGGCCCTGAAACTAAATGTGTTCCCTTCTTATTAGGAAAGTAAGAGTTTTCCTGCAAGCCTACCTGACCGACTTCCACTTACATCTTGTTGGCCAGAACTGGGTCTCATGGCCACCTCTGGCTGCAAGGGAGCCTGGGACAGCAAGTTTCTCACTTATCAGCCTCTTTAGTAGAAGCAATCAAGGGAGAAGGGCATTGAGAAAGGCATGGAGAACCCATCCGGGCATCTGCCCGTCCTTCTCTCCATCCTCCCCAAGGAAGTTCAAGGTTCCATTCTCAGTGCTTCTCTAGGCCCGGCGCATTACTTTGAATGTTGTGTAACAGGGTGAGAAGCTGGCTCCGGCATCTCCCCAGGCTTCCACCTTCTGATTAATCCAGAAAGTGGCTGTCAAGTGCCTGCCAACTGCTTGGTATAACATGCCTCCCTGGAGGAGCAGCAGGCGTGGCCCTTACCCCGGAGGTTCTTAGCCTAGTTAGGAGAATATCCAGGCTCTCTGCTCTCCTTCTTAGAACCGATGATGCAAGACATTTTCTGCTCATCTTGTTAGGACAGTTTTGCAGGTTGCCTGCCATCCTGGGAAAGTCCTGAAGCACTATGCCAGACCTCATGCCAGTTTCCCAAACCACGGCTTTCCTTGCCCCATCAGCATTTCACTGGAAGAATCTCCCGGTTGGATATTTGCATTCAAGTCTTGCTGCACTCTGGGTGCTGTACATGTATGGGTCCCAAGAGCTTCTGCTCCCTCTGCAGGGAAAGGAGCTCTGTGGGGCTGGGCTCTGCCTGCCTGCCCCGCCTGCCCCGCCTGCACCGCCTGCACCCGAGACAACCGTAATTAAAATGGCCTTCATTGATCTAAGCTGACTTTGGCTCTTGGAAAGCCTTCAAAGCTGACACCTCCTTACATTTGCCTGGAATAATAGCTGGGAGCGTGCCAGGGCATTGCTCAGGGAGGAATGCTGATTTGGGAGTGTCCACCTTGATGAGAGACTGACAGCAACTCCTGGTGGCAGATCTTTACCTCCTGCCTCTGCTGTGAAGGTGGCCCCACCTGCAGGTCTGCCACCAGCTGTGGACAGGACTGTGCCTGTTCACTGCCATGCAGGGGACGCTGTGCGTTTTAATCATGGGTTGGGGGACAGGAGATTAGAGCTGAAAGAAATCTTGGAGGAATCCTAGAGATGACACTCACATTTGCAGATGAGGAAACTGAGGCCCACAGAGGACAAAACACTTGCCCAAAGCCTCACAGCCAAACCATAGGCCCTGGCCCTCACTCTAGGGTTCCTGCACTGCCTTTGTCCCAATCCTATCCTCCTGCATTGTCTTAGGGATCAAATAGCTGTGAACAATCATCTGGTTTTCAATTTTTCTTCTTTAAGAGTGCCTGGGACCATCCCCAAGCAGTCCCTTGCACTGTAGTGTTTGCACGGAGGCTGCCCAGTCTCTCCTGGCAGATGGGCTGGTGGCTCCTGAGCGGAGCACCCAAGCAGCGTATTAACATGGGGAGGTGTCAGCAGGGTCCGGCTCTGGGCCCTGCTGTGTGGTGTTGCTTTTTTGCATGCGGCTGAGTCCCCTCCTGACTCCCTCTACCCCTGCACTGCTCCCACACAAGAAGCTAAGGTGAGGGGCTGGGCGTGGCTTGTCCTGGCCCCTCTAAGGTGACTCTTGGTGGTTTCCAGATGTGACGGCGCCCTTAGTGGATGAGAGAGCCCCCAGCGAGCAGGCTGCCAGCCAGCCCCCCACAGAGATACCAGAAGGAACCACAGGTGAGGGAACCCCAGAGCCTCCCAGGGCTGTGGAGGCCCCTGCTGGGTGCCCCGGCTGACCTGCTGCAGCAGCAGGTGCATGCGGGGCTAGCCTGGAGTACGAGTGAGGCAGGAATGGGCGGATGCCAGCTTCGGGAATCTTGGTTTGTTAGGAGCTTCATGCCTCGATGTCCTGTTGCTTTGCAGCTGTCCACAGCCTCCCAGAGGATTTGGGACCTTCTGGGTTCCTTCCAAATTTTCCTCTCCTTGCCTCTCAGTCAGTGCATCTGCTCAGAGAGTTCTCTGCAGGGTTTTCCGAGGCAGGCGAGGCAGTGGCAGACCCGTGCCTTGTTCACACCTGAGGTTGCCCACCTTCCTGCTTGGACTCTGCCCTGCGGCAGGGTCACCTCCCAGGGGTGGTTTACCCCCAGGAGCACCTGAGCTTGCAGCAGGGCCCAGATGACTGAACCTTTTGAGGATCCTGGGGGAGTTCAGAATGTGACCTAGCATTCATTTCTAGGACTATGTTGTCTTTTCAAACATATCCATGAAAAACAGGCTTGATGAGCCCGTCCTGTCAACACAGATGACAGGGAATCAGTCAGGCAGGGCACCCACAGAAACAGCCCAGGGCTCAGGGCTGCAGAGTCACTCAAGAGCTGCCCTGCACAGGCAGAGCCTAAAGGAAACAGCCAGCACAGCTGGGAGCTCCTAGTGTCATTTCCTTCCCATCCTGTTTGCTGGGCTTACATCAAGACTCCAGCCATTGGCTTGGTGACTTGGAGGGTGCCCAGCTGTCCTACAAGAAGAGCAGGAAAAAAAAAAAAAGAAGAAGCAATGCAGCAGAGTTCTGGACAGGATTTCACCAGCAATGGAGGGCAGGGGGCATGTCCTCAGGGAGGCGTTCTGCAGCGTCCTCTCAGTGCTGGCGTGTGGAGAAGGTCCCTTGCAGGGGCAGTGCCCTGCACACCCTTCAGATTGCATTTCTGCTCTGCAAGTTGATGGAGCTATGAGGTCTTCTGAAACGGGTGGAGGGAAT